TGGCTAAGTGATAGGAAGATAAGAACGTGAGTCCCTCTTCCTGGCTTATGGCTGCTTGCTTTGCTGTTATGGAATTAGGAAGGATGGAGAACATTGCTTTTCCAGCCGCAGAACAGGGTAGCACTTACTGATCAGATGAGCTATCTCAAAACCAATGCCAGGGGTTTCTAAATCAGCAGAGAGAACCCCATGAGCTTCCAGAATGTTGTCGAGGGTGTACAAAGCTTCCCAAACACTGTTAATGTGGCCAGTTCAGCGATGGTGCCCCCTTCACCAGCCACATGGCCAGTCCTCAGTTTGATGCTTTAGCAGAGTCTAAGTCCACCAGGAGCCAGGTTAGGCATGTGGTTTGTGTTGGGTTTGTGTTAGGTTAGGAATATGAGCCTCTGCTGGTTTTCTCTGCTGCTTTTTTTAGAAGCTGCCCGTGCCCACATAGGTGAACAGAAAGTGATCAAACGATAATTTTTTAGGCTTAGATTAAAAATTAAGAAAGCATGAGACAATGTGTGTATAAATGGAGAAAGGGAATGGATATTGAAAAATCAGTGGCTTTGTATTCACAGTTAGCCATTTTCTCCACGGCTGTGCTAGGTAACAGTGAGCCAAGTCCAGGAACCCCAGAACCCTCTTCAGTGGTCACTGAGAAACCCTGAGACAGCACTCTGCATCCCAAGTCTGGGAAAAGGAGAAGAGCTCACTCCCTTGAGATGCTGTAGGTGTGCATTGTGTGTGTGTTTATACCAGGTGTCTTCATACATATACTCGCACAGCACATGTACATGCATGCATGCAACAACATCTCCGCAGCTTCCAAAAGTCTCTCTCGCATAAGCATTAAACATGGTGGAAGAAAATATTAATCTCTGGCATGCATTGGAAGGAGGTAGTTCTCAAAACCAATTGCAGGCCCAAGCTACCTAGGAGGCATTTAGAAGAGAAAAAAAAAAAAAAAAAAGCTCTGACTCCATCCAAGGAATACCACATCAGAACCTCTTTCCCGTGATGGGAACTGGGAGTTGCTGATACTTGTTAACAGCTGCTGTGGGGACAAGGGCCACGCATCCTGCTTAGTCACCTTTTGGTCTTCCCAAGATGGCACTTTTGCTCTCGGACTCCAGGTTACGCGCAGGGGAAAGCCTGACAGTTGCATAAGGGGATCAGAATCCATTATTTCAGGACCCTTCACATTCTCACAACATTCCCCCTAAGCCCGAAGTGCCCTTGGGATTGAAGTCAGGCCAGGTGCTGATGGAGAGCCTCCAGCTAGTTCCCTAGTACAAGCCATGCTTTCAGTAAGAGGGTGGCAGCTTCTCTCATCTCATCCCAAATGCAAGCAATGAAGATGGTCATTGATGGAACCCTTGCATGGACCAGACACTGAACCAACCAAACGCCAATGTCTGCTGCAAGAAAAGGGACAGGTCTCTATCACCTCTACTATTTAACAGATGAGACAAACGACAGAGTAGTAAGGGATGGAGTCAGGATGATACCTGGGCCATCAATTCTAATACCAACCGCCCAGTCACTGGGCCATCCATTTTCCACTCAGCTCTGTGACACAGCAAGTTCAATCAACAGGAAGTGAGTCAGTGTGGGTCTACTGTTCATCTCTTCATTCACTTCATAACCAAGCAGGGACTGTTAGCATAATGGGCCAGTGGTAGTGAAAGGAAAGAAGCAAAAGAAAATTGAGGCCAAACACGTGGAAATGTGCATGTTGCCTCTTGGTTCTGACACCAACTCACGTTGAGTGGGGGACTGGAATAATCACTTCAGTTGACTGATTAAGATGCCACACCCTCCCTCCGTTCCTTGCTCTCCCTTTCTTGAGCAACAACACTAGTATGAAATGCACAGTGCTCCTTGCAGCCTTCTCTTATTCCCCACCCAATTTCTACTCCTCAGGAAAGTCCTCCAGGTTCCTGACATTAACGTGAAATGTATTCACCAGGCATGGAGGTGGGGGTATTCTGCTCACCTCATCAAAGCCTCTGCCAGCACGAGGATGTCTTCAGCATTTAGGGGAAGCTCTTCGTTTTTAGCCCCTCTCCCAGTCACTTCCACATTAATTAGTAAGGGTATCATTTTATAAATTACAGCTTCGTATCAGAGGAAAGCAGAGTTTATCTTAATTCAGTCAGCTGTGGGGAATACAGTACCCTAATTTTAGACCGCCGGTTCTGCAGATCCCCACGGAGTCACAGAATGACAGGTCTTCCGGAGAGAAATCCCAGTGGGTCTCCTACAAGTCTCACTTTTGCCTCCAGCAGCATCCCTGGTGGGGCTGGCTGAGGGGATCCCAGGACACCAAGTGGCATCTTGCCTGCCATTAGCAATTCAGATTGGAATGCGAATCCTCCAAGCAGCACATGAAAGCAGCCCTGGTTGGCTGGGGGGCTTGGAGAGGGCACGGGCAAGAGGCTCCAGCACAGAGGAGGCTGTCAGGGGCCAGGCTGTGATGGAGCACAGGTCTGGGAGGATGGTGTAAAGTCGCTGATAAACACCAGACAATCGTGGCCCAGGAGGGTCAGCCTGACAGTCTTAACTACAACGGGGCCAAGCAGGCACGGCTGCAATTACAGAGCCTTGATTGCTCCTGCTGGGGAGTCTCTGGAGAAATGTTGTATGGCAGGGACCAGGGATGTGAATGCTTGGCTGCGGTACAGCTCCTGGCTAACAGAAAGACTCGCCAGACCACCACAGTCCTAAGGAAAAATGAGCCGTGGGGCCAGGCGGGAAACAGTGCCACGCCTTAGAGGGGCACTGCTCACGCCCCTCCATGCCACTGCCAACATCACACTCCCGGCCTTGCCTACCAGCCCCTTCCCATTCTCCTTACTCCACGAAACCATCGCAAGCACTGGGTGGTGGTATGAGCTACCTGCTTGCCACTCACCATCCTGTCTGATGCTGTGCTGCTTCTTCCACTTGTAGCTGGCACCCTAGGGTACTCTCCACATGCGGGATGCACCTTAGCCCCAGATCCCTCTCACAACCAGGAAACTTAATTGTAGAAATTACCAGAGTCGGAGTGACCAACTAGACTAGTGGTAGTAGATACCACCAGGATTCTGGGGTTCATGACCTGGAATGAGGGCCATGTTTTCAGATTTATATCCACTCCCCTAGGCAATCTGGGTATGCAGCCACAGTTGGGAGCACTGACCAAGATGCTTATATGGAGTGCAAAACCACCTTCTACCTGCTGAAGACTAGAGATGCTTCTGGAATTCATATTCACTTTTGAGGAAAGAATGTCTGCTTGGTTTGAAAATGCCAAGTAAGGTCCCTCCTCTGCAGAAGTGCCACAGACTTGGAAAGTGAGCTCAACCACTGCGTGTGCATGTCTTGGAATGGCCAGAAGGTTCCAGGCCCTCCGTGGGGCTAACTGCGCCTGACAGAATGCAATGAAGACTGCTGCAGGGAGTGTGGTCATGGGCACTGGAGTGTGCAGTGATCGCACCCTCAGGACTGAGCCCTTCTTAGGTCTCCGCCATCTACTCGTCCCCAATGTCCCCAGTTACCTGTGACAGCAGGGGTCCTACCTCTAAGGAGCAGAGACTCATGGGGACCAGAGGCAGGAAGCTCCTTACTTGTCAGTTAAACAAAAGCAGAATGCACAGCTCCCCTTTTCAGTGTGTACTTTTGCTGTCATCCAACAGCCCATTACCATGTCACAGCACAGCGCACCCTTCCATAGGTCACTTTGTTGAAAATGACATGGATAACGCACATGTCAGCAAGCTGACAGTCCTGGCCGTCCTTCAGAGATAAAAACCTCAAGGCGAGAGGCTGTTCTTATCTGAGGGACATGCACTGGCCTATCATCCAAGTCAGGCAGAACAAGATTTCTCCAGAGAGCACTTTTTTCATTTCCTGATTTTAAGGAAATCAAATAAGCACCATTTGTCTTCATCTGAATATGCTTGACCTGCTCAAATGATGATGTCTCGCATTTTATAACAGACTACATATGCTGAATTCAAATTAATGACGGTACGGAACAAGAGCCTTTAGATCTTTCTCGGAGGCTGGCAGCACAGGAGGAGGGCAATATTCTGGGCTTGGTGGGAAGATTCCACGAAATACTAATAGCAGGATTCTGAGCAGAATCTGCAAACCCGGATGAACTGAAAGTCAAAGGCGGGTGAAGCAGGAAGGTGTAAACATGGGGGAAGGAGCGGCTACTCCATCCTTTTGGTGTCAGGTCAATAGAGAAACCACGGCATTTAGGTGAACTCTTTTTTAAAAATACAAAAAGCATTAGTATAGGTGAGTATAAAATTGGTTGGGAAGTTGGGGAAGCTAGAAAGAAAACAAACACACGAATGACCCTATTGATTTAGGCAGCAGAAAGTACACTTTACCCAATCGTGATCCAATCTTCTGGAACATGAGTTCCATCGGTTGATCCGTGTTGCACTGGACACGCGGAGGCTGGGGACCAGCAGCCTCGTAACACAATACACCTGTTGGAAGAACTGCTCTCCTACCTGCTCATCCACCCGATGACGGCAATCTCCATCTGCCCTTGCCTGCCCACCCTCCACCCTACGATTTGACTCCTGGAAAAATACCATGCACATTTCTATTGAGAGGATCAACATGCATTGAAAAGCAGGAGTGGACAGACAGGTCAGCAAATCAGGGCAGAGATAATATCCTACTAGCGAGTTTCATGTTCCCATCTCAGGTCTTAAAAAATCAGGTGGCTATTATAAAAAAATAATTCTTTGGGTCTGTAAGTTATTCTCTATGAAGTGGAAACTCAATGTCACAGATCTGCAATATTAAAGGTTTTTTTTTTTTTTGAAAGTGCATCTCAGAAATCAAACATGTATGTTCTCACAGGAAATGTCACTGTGTGAGGAATGCTCATCTTTCTAAAGAGAACAGGCACAGTCAACATGAAGTGGCATCCTGCCCTGCCTCCATGTAGGAGGATCAGGGTGTTTGCAGCACGGTTTACACTGAGCCCATGCTGGGGGCAATCTTACCTTCTCTTCCTGGTCACTGTCGCTGTCACACTGAAAATGAAGACAAGAGAAGAAAGGTTAGTGTAAGGTCGGAGGGTGCTTGCTTTTACTGTCCATCCCCCACAATCAGGGTAAGATAAAGTAAACAGAGTTGTCCAAGTTGGAAAGAGTTTTTTTTTTTTTTTTCTTTCGCATTTCCAGCTTGAGTACTAGTGGAAGGGATCAGAAACACAAAGCTCTCCTGTTGACTTCACCAGAGGCTGTGGCTCTGCCCGTGCTCAGCCACACAGCTAGGTGAGCAGCCCCCAGCTTCACAGCAGAGGCACATACCTGTCTAAGAGCCAACCCAGCCACACAGGATTCAGTGAATCAAGTTCATTTAAGGGGGTTTCACAGTCAATTGGCTTCTTAACAGAGACATGCTACCACGAGCTGGTGTGAGGTTGGGCGCCCCTCCTGCTCTAGTAGAGAAGACACCAACCACTCAGCACTGCATTCTCTCCTGGGGACTTAGAGAAGCACAATGGGCCAAGTTCACTTCCAGAGTTTAGAGATCCAGGGAACAAAATCAAGGATCTCTCTGGAAAACAGGCAACGGCAGGGTGATAACAATATGGGCAAAACACTACGCTTTAGGGAAGTAGAGTCACAAATTCCAACTGCTGAGCTGTGTTTGGGACACCCAGTTTTCACTACCTCAAAGCTTTGGGTTCCTCTTTGTAAAGAAAAAGTAACACTTTTTTTTTTATAGAAAAAAAGCAACAGTGCTTTCATAATATTATATTTTAAGGTTTGGAATGTTAGAGTTTTGTTAGACCAGATGCATAGCAGATATGTACAGGGGACTTCTAAAAGTTCATGAAAAAAATGGAATTAGAAGTTAATTTATTTTGGTGCAAAGAATTTTGAAATCCATGTACATGGAAGGTCTTCAAAAAAGGTTATGGAAAATTCATATTATAAAGAGATCTATGCCCAGATTTCTAATATTTGTGCACCAAGATAAACACATCTTAATTCCATTTTCCAGGAACTTTTGGAAATGACCTTGTAAATCATTCATCCATTCACTCAAAAGCTCCTGATTAGTAGGTGCTAAGTAAGACAGACATTTAATCGGGATATAGGACTGGCTCTCAAGTCATTCCAGGCTAGTTGTAAATGTGGAACACAGAATCTGAGCAGGGACAGGGCCTGCTCAGAGCCACAGCCATGAGGATGAATCCTGTAGGAGGTGGAGAAAGAGCCCATGATAGGGAAAGGGAGGGTGGATTGGCAACCACTTCATCATCTACATCAGGGTGGTGCCATGGCTTGGAAAGGGGAGAAGCAGATGGCACAGCAATTCTGAAGGCTGAACCAATAGGGCTTCCTAACACATGGTTATGACAAACGAGCACTACGCATGACCATAGGATGAAGCCAATATGTTTTAATTTGGGCACTTGTCATGGCAGTTGCTGTAGCTATGACTAGAGATGGGTAATGAGTCTCCTTGTAGGGCACTTGTGTAATCTGCTTGTGGTTAGATGTTCACATAGTTCCCTTCTCCCTAGTCTGTACCTCTTCCTGATGCTTTGAGATCAATAGAGAGAGTTTTCCTTACCAATTTGCCTTGCACTTAAGAGTAACCACTGTTGGCCAACGAGATTGAAAATCTGATGAGGAATCTAGAATGTATTCTTTCTCTCATCAGTAAAAAGAAAAAAAAAAAGAAAAGCCCACAGGAACCATCTCTCTCTTGCCCTTGAACGTAACTGTCTGGGGATACAGTGTCTGGCTCTGCAGCATCTCCATGAAGAAAGAGACAAGAGCCAGAACAAAAACAAAACCGTAAAGCCAAGGAAAGAAAAGCTTGACAATGCTGGGCCACAGAACCAACTCAGACCAGCCTGCTGATCAGAAAACAGGAAGCTACTATTTTTAATAATTACTTATTGTTACTATTATTTTTTAATAATAACTTATTGTTGCAACAGAAAACAGCAAAAGACCCATTGAAAAAAAAAAAAGGACACCTTGTCTTCGTAAAAGGGAATCTGGGGATTACTTCCTCCTAAAAGAGAAATATGCATTTAGGAATCCCCCATGACGATCTCACCGACTGGACAGTTACCAATATTTCCTCCTCCTCTCTTTGACTTCTCAGGGCTATGGGGCTCTAAGTACTTAGAGGCAGTGATGCAAGCCAAGTGAAGCACATTGGCTTTCAACCAAGCTCCCAACCTCAGCTGGCCTAAACTTACAACTCTTGCTTGATGGGCAATTTCTGGATTATAATAAATCAAATGAATTGAGAAAGCAAAGAGGCAACCTAAAGACCACGAAGGTCTAGAACAACAGATGGGTGAGGAACAACAGTGCTTTCCTGACAGTGCGATCCCCCTCTTGCCTTTAATTAAGCCCTCCTCGAGGTTCCTAAGTGCCAGGCATGTTTTCAAGAGTGACAACGCACCACACAGGAGGGGTGTTTGGCTAGGCGGTCTCATTTCCCCAGATGTTCACAGCTCTCCTTTCAGAGGTCACTGACGATAACTGAAGGCTGCCAGCACAGCATTTGCCCTGCTCCCCCAGGATCTGAGAGCAGTGGCAAAGGGCGGGGAAGTTGAGGAAGAACCACCACTGTTCCCGCACCCTGTTCTAACAGCAGCATGTCCCTGGGAATGGTTATTTCCATCAAAGTGTTAAGCTTCCTGCTTTCCAACAGTCCAGTTCTAATTTCAAGGTCCACTTAATTCTGCATCAAGTAATTACTGATATACCCAGAAGCACCTTGTCTCCAGAGTTAAGCATATGGTGAAGAACTGAGACCTACTGGTATCCATTATGGAAGCAGCACGGATGCCAAGCCGATTAAAAATGCTCAGGCTCCCCGCACAACATGCGGCGTGAGTGACAGCTCCTCGACAAGGCCAGTCGCAGAGTCTGCCAAAATGGGTCTCTGCTGCACCGGGGGCCCACATGGTGCGCTGAGAAAACAGTTCCATTTCTGGTATTAAATTCCCATACTGACCCGAGGACTTTGCCGTGAGCTCAGCAGGAGCGCACCATCCAATTTACAGCTCCGCTCTCTGGAGCCTCGAGTGCCAGCCCCTGGCAGAGACGGATGATGGTCAGCCCCTCCAGCTCATAAATTATGCAAAGGCAATAAACGCACTCAGCAAACAGTGCCTAACGTTTGCCGAGGCTGGCTCCTAATGCACTCTGTAAAAAGCCAGAAGCTCAACACATACAAGGGGTCTATTCCACTCATAAAGGAGGTTTGTTGACAAGCCCAGACGGCAAGCGAGCCACAGTCCTAAGGAGTCTTTCTGCTTGGCTGGCAGCGGTTTATGGGTCTGCTTTATGAAAAAGGGGAGGCTGTTTTATAGAGTCAGTGTGGGCAGCACTCATGGTCTCAAATTCACATTTAATACACTGCATGGCTTTCACACCTTAAGTTCAATATGTGGTGGGTTTTTGGGGCCAAATGATTCTTGGTCTTCAAAGGTTAAAAGAAGAAGTGTCTGCTCCCTGGTCCCTAGGTGCCCACTCCAATTTATGAAAGTTCACATTGAGCCGCCTCCCGATGCAGGCTTACGTTCTGCACGGAGCTGGGAAATGGAAAAGGCCTGTCACATGCAGAAACAAGGCCCATGCTGGTGTGACCATGTTAAGCATTTTGACATCAGGGTCCTGTTTCAGTTTATTAGCAAACGGGTGGCACACCGACCACCAACCTGGGGTGACACAGGGAATTCTCCATGACAAGACGCCCAAGCTGTTTGTGAAAAGCTGAACTCATCGTCCTCCATTTTAAAGAAAGGAGTGCAAAGGAACAACCAGCACATCATATAGGATGGACAGGGAAGAATTCTTAGTTGTCTCGCTTTCAAGTAGAGAAAAGTGAAAGTACCTGGAATGGGAGGCAGGGAACAAAGGGGGTGAGTAATCCGAGGCTTGGGCTTCGGACACAGCATTCCCAACAACTGCTTCCTAACCTGAGTCCTCCCAGGGACTTCCTCCTAACATCTGAGTCCCTTCATCTTTACCTTCTCTTCCCTCTAGTTTCTTAAATTACATGAAAATTGTTGGAGCCACTTGTCTAGCCAAGTTTCACCCCTAAACTCCTCAACTAAACTAGGAAGCCAACCAAACACCGACCAATTCACCCAATACTTTCCTCTTCCACTCTCGATCTTACCCAAAAGGCTGGGAAGCGTTCCTCTTCCAAAAATACTTATTTTTGCATACATTTTTTTTTTGGTTAAAACTGTACAAAATGCATAATCAATAAGTAGATACTTTTTACATAACTGCGTAATTGTTTCCTCTTCTTATGGAAATGGATACAATTTTCACCTGTTTTTGCTTATAACATGTTATAGCATGTTAAGGATTTTAATGCGTTAAATCTTCCCAATAACATCACTTTCAAAAAATAACTGCTCTGCAACCCCCAGTGTAGACGCAATACATAATCTAATTTAAAAATCCCCCTAATGCTGAGTATTTCAGTTGTTTCATTTGAATATCCTACAACTGTTCCCTTCTGCATTCATTCATTCATGCATTCATTCATTGCTGTTCTTCTCATACCTTTTCATGGTCCTTTCTTCTCTGCAAACTCTTTCCCATCACTGTCACCCTGAAGTTGTATTTTGAAAGACTTTATCTATTTGAAAGGTGGAGGGAGACAAGTGAAAGATCTTCCACCTGCCAGGTCATTCCCCAAAAGCCTGCAACAGCCAGGACTTGGCCAGGCTGAAGTCAGGAGTCCCAGAACTCAACCCGGCTCTTCCACATGAGTGGCAGAGACCCAAGTACTCAGATCACCTGCCACTTTCCAGGGCTACATCAGTAAGGACCTGAAACTGGAAGCATAGCCAGGCCTTGAACTCAGGGACTCTGGTATGGGATGCCCCAAATGCTTCCCACCTCCACAAATGGCATTTGTACTTATACTGCTATGTCATTTCCAGAGGGTTCTTAAAGATTCCCTTAGCTCTACTAATGTTTCAAAAAAAAAAAAAAAAACCAACAAAACTGTATAACCACATTTGCCAGCTAGT